GGAGCAAATGCACAACACGAGACCTCTGCCATAGAGGCCTCCATTTATTAAAAATTCTCAAGAAACAGCAATTTAAACCTCTCGATACCGCGACAAGTGTGATATGCACGTCCTCCGAGGCATGTCGAAGACGAGAAAGCTTTTCAGAAATGAACCAAGATTATGAGTGCTATGTAATTCTATCTCGTTCTGAAACTATAAACATTTAATACGAAGCAGAAAGACAACGCAGCACGGAGAGTCACATTTCAGAAACTGTGGAAGAAAGAGAAAAAAGCCACCCATTTGCCATTTCAGAAAACGCATCCAGACATAAATCCAAGAACTACAACCCTGTGAAGTAACTGATGAAAGGAGCACCGTACTCAAGCATTCGTGTAAACGACTTCGAAACGTTCCAACAACAGCGGTTATCGGCCGGAATTATTAGAATTAGATGTACGTATGTACGTATGTACGTATGTACGTATGACCACAGAAACAGCCGTCATCAAGAAGCGCCCCTCCCCCCACCCCCTTTCCAATCTCAACGTCCACGCCTCCCCACCTTTTTTCTCTGCGTCCCATTCTTGCCCGCCTATGTTCCCGATCCTCTTTTTGTTCTCCAGTCTCTCGTCTAACATGTACACTTGTTGCTAACAGTGTTCCCAGGCTCCTAGGAACAGACGAGAAAGAGGTTTACCATAGAGACGAGAAAGGGTTGAGAAGGTAAAGCGAAACACGCCAACACAATGACAGTCTTTTAGTGGTGGGGAAAAGCAAAGAGACAAACAGAATTATCAGAGATAGGAAAGAAGTGGGGCACATCAGTGGTGCTCTCAAACACAAAGATTTTTCTTTTTGTTCTTGTCTTTGTTTTATTCTGCTTTTATTATCCTTTTTTCCCCGGGGGACAGGGGGGTCGGGGTAGTGTACATAGGTAAAAAAAAAAGCTTTAGGCTTTAAGCTTTTCATTTTGGGAAAGGGGGTGGGCGGGAGCAGACGGGAAAGAGAGGAAGGATGAGGAAGGGGTGATATAAAAAGAGTCTTGAGTTGAGCCGCAGGTAAAAGGACTGGCTTGGGAGAATGAAAGACATCAACAGCAGGATCCGCTCTGAAGGGAAGCCCCATAATATAAGCAAGAAGCAACACAGAGCCACGGACGGACCGGTCCGGCACTTTATGACTCACAACTAACTCACACGTGAGTGAAAGACGGAGAGAGAGACTGGGGGAGACATGGAAAGAGAGACAAAAAGAAGGAAGAGAGAAGAAAGAAGGGGACAGAGAAAAAAAGAGAATGCCAGTGAGAGAGAAAAAGGGAAAGAAAGGGTGGGGGCGTTTCTCTCTCTCTCTCTCTCTCTCCTTCTCTCTTTCTCTCTCTTTCTCTCTCTCTCTCTCTTCTCTTCTCTTTCTGCCTCTCAGTCACACGTATGCACTCACGCTTGCGCGTACGTACACGATCAAACGCATTTTAAAAAGTTAAATGTTAACTGCCAGCAGCTCGAACTGTGAATAAGCTCCCTGAGATTGAGTGCACGAAGCCTACTGTCAGACACGGTCATACGCTTATCATAGCGTTTGAGCACCCAGCTTTCCGCCACGACGTATGTCCCTGAGGACTGGCACGGTAAATTGGAACAATCAAAGTCAACCAGATGAGTGATCGTGTGGGGTTGGATCTACTTAGCTCCAAAATTTCCCCTGGAAATCCAAATGTATGCCTGTATACTCTCTCTCTCTCTCTCTCTCTCTCTCTCTCTCTCTCTCTCTCTCTCTCTCTCTCTCTCTCTCTCTCTCTTTACTTGC